TTCCAATGTTGACCTCTGGCATAGTCTGTGAACCTCTCTTTTAGTAGCAGTAGCAGTAGTAGTAGTAGTAGTAGTAGTAGTAGTAGTATTTAACCCTTCTAAAGCACCTATTATGTGCCTGGAACTGCTCTAAGCACTTCACAAAGTATTAACTCTCTTAATCCTCCCATACCCTATAAGGTAGGCCCTATTATTATCCCCATTTACAGATGAAGAAACTGAGGCACAGAAAAATCAAGCAAGTTGCCCATAGTTATATTAGTGGTTCAGGAGCTTTTTCTTTTTTTTTTTTTTAACATCTTTCTTGGAGTATAATTGCTTTACAAAGGTGTGTTAGTTTCTGCTTTATAACAAAGTGAATCAGTTATACATATACATATGTCCCCATATCTCTTCCCCCTTGTGTCTCCCTCCCTCCCACTCTCATCAGGAGCTTTTTTAATCTCAGGAACTCCTTAGAGATTACTGATGCCTCTAAAGAGCTTTTGTTTATGTAGGTTATAACAATTAATATTTACTATATTAGAAATACTTAAATATTTAAAATATTTATTAATTCACTTAAAAATAGCAATAACAAGCCCATCACATACTAACATAAACAACATTTTTATGAAATATAAATATATATATTTTAAATAGTGAGATGAGTGGCATTGTTTTACATTTTTAAATCTCTTTACTGTCAGGCTTAATAGAAGACTAAATTACCTGAAAAAAATAAAAATAAACTACCTGGATTCCACATCTGTTTTTGTGTTCAATCTGTTGTGATATCCCATGTCATGTAACCTCTGGAAAATTCCACCATACGCTCTCCAGAGAATGAGTGAAAAAGTCAAATATCTTAGTGTTATTATGAAAAGAATTTTTATTTAATTGTGTTTTTAATGAAAATAACGGTTACATTGTGGGCCCCCTAAAAGGGTCTAGGGGACTCCTAAATCCCCATAGTTTGAGCACCTGTGTGTTACATGAGTCTGTAAGAACTGATTTAATACAGCCTATCCCCACTTCCTGGCCACTGTTGATTGGTTTGAAGTTTGGCTCCTGACTCAAATATTGGGACAAAGCGCCCCTCTCCAGGGATGTTATGCTTGGGATCAGCAGCCTGAAACTCAGACTCTTTTATTCGATGAATGGTCTAACTTGGGAGCCATGTTGTTTTTCGACCCATGGAGAAAGCCCTTCCATGGTGAGTTAATAATGAAGCCAAGCTGTTGAAAGCAGCAGAGGTAAGCAACAGAAGGAACATCCTGACCAAGTTCAAATCCCTGGTTCTCACTGTTCCTGAAGCTCTGATACTTTCCCGTCCTTGAGTTCTAGGCCACTCTTTATTTTCTCTATGATAAATACTGCTTTGGGCTTAAACTAATCGGAGCTGGATTTCTATCACTTGCAACCCAAAGAGTCTTAACAAATGCTCTGTTAGTCAAGTCTTTTTTTTCCTCAGGTTTTCCCCCACTTTTTAATTAAAAAGTCAACAAAAATGCTGAAGTAAACTAAGAAAGAGCTTTATAAGAGACAAGCCTGGCTGAACTAATCCGAATCATGAAAAGTTTAGACTGGGGTGCAGCTGATGTGAGAATCAAGCATCTTAGGTCTTTCTCTGTGAAAAAAACCTTAAATTACTTTTGACAGTGTCAGTAAATCTGACTCCAAATTCAGCCACAACGCAATTAAGCTCCCTGCCGGCCCACCCCTACCTCAGGAGGTGGCACTTTTAGCTTCTCAAATTAGAGGTACAAACAAACTTCCTCCTTTGATATCTCCAAGTCACAAGAGACTAGCACTGTTGACTTAAACCTCTCCAATTTTCAATAAAGGGCTTAGTGAGCCCCGGATTCAATATATTCTCAGTGACCTACAATGTGGAACCTTCCTGCTAATAGTTATATAAAAGGGCTTGATTAGAGCTATAGCCTAGAGATCAGGTTTTTGAGCTTTGTTTTTTAATAGAGTCTTTCTTCAAAAAAAAATTATAAGCGATGAAAAGTTTTAGTTTTCTTACATCTCTTTTTCGTTTTTAAATCCGACATTCTTCCTCTCCTGAGGCACACCCAGATATTCTTCAATGGATTTCTGTCATGCTGGAGTGAAGAGAGATTGTCAGTTGGAGCCAATAGATCAAAGGTCAGACCTCAGCACTATCCTTTACTAGCTGCAGAGCTTTAGACAAATAAAGTAAGTATGATAATACTTCTCTTAGAATGCTGATATGGAGGAAATAGAATTTTCCTTTTCTTTATGATTTCAAAAACTCAGCTTCTATATTGTATTTCCAGAAAGATAAGCCTAGGGAGAGGCTTTGGTGGATCATTACGTATGGTAGAAAAATGAAGGATCAGATTGGAGTAACAGAAAATGGGGTGACATTCACTGATGGAGGGAGCAGGGAGTGGAAGAACAGAACACTTGATTGCAAGTGACAGAAATGTACTGCTTTTATCCACCTCCAACTAGTTTAAGATGAAAAAAGGGGAGTTAGGCAACTTAATGGCTCATAAAAACTAAAAGACCAAGGATGGATTGGTTTAGGGCACAGCTATGCCCAGGAGTTCAAATGATGTCAGGGCTTCCATTTTTCTCAATTTCTGTTTCTTTCTGCTATTGCTCATGTCTTTCTCCTTATAGCTAAGGAAGACAATTTACATTGTCCTTTAAGGTCATAATTCCAGAGAAATAGATTAAGAAGAAACATCTACTAGGAGAGCCTGCCAGAAATTTCCAGAATAGATTCTCACTGGCTGGCTTGTGTCACATGCCCACCCAGATCTGTCTGACTCTAGAACCCATACTCCTCACTGCTCCTGAATACTGTCTTAGCACTTTTTAAAAAAAATTATTTTTTAGTCTGTCTTCCTATTGGAATCTAAGCTCCTCGAGGGCAAAAAATCATTTATTTTTTACCCTGAGCATCTAGCATTGTGCTTGGCACATGGTACTGGATGCTTTAAAAAAAAATGTGTGTAGGACTGAACTGAAATAGATAAATCTAAACTCTGACATATGATGTGTAAACCAAGTTAATTCAGTATCTAGTAAGTACACCTAAGTGGTATGATAAGAAAACACAAGGTAGATGACTAAAAGGGTGGAAAAAAATCATGGAACACTTACGCATGATTTCTGTAAAGGTAAATCTTACCGAACTAGCATACTAGAGTTCTCCTAGTGTTCAGATAGACAAAAGGACAAGGTGAAACCAGCAGACCTTATTTGGCTTTTTAAAAAGTCTTTGATAGATTTACACATCAAAAGCTTTTAGAAAAATGGGGTTACCCTTGGATTTTAGAATGATATTGTTAGTATTGTTTTAATTTTGTTTGTTATATTGTGTCTAGGAAACAATCAAAATCAAGCAGTGAAGGTTAGGAATAAATGAGAAAGTGTAAATAGTGGAGACCTATCTTATATCATGTTTAATAAATTATCAAGAGGTGGTTTGGATAACGGAATTTTTAGTTTGCATATAACAGCTCTTTCAGTTAATGCAGTATTTAGCTGAAGACAAAGGCAAAATAATACAAATAATGGTACGTGCCTTGAATTTAGAAAAGATTCAATTGTGCATTTAGGGGGAAGTATAACAGTATAGGGGAATTGGAGGTGGGCACACAGAGCCAAACCTTTGTTCCAACTAGATGGGCCTATTTCCCTTGCATTTTTTCACTTTTCCATGCACTTCTTGTCTCCTGTCCACACGTGTGCTCAGCTGAAGGGACCCTTACCAGCTAGAAGAGTCCTTTTTTTTGGACAAGGGAATACTACAATCTCTGCTACAGTCTCCAAACTTTCAAGGATTCCAACCAAATGCAAAACGTAAAAATAATAAAGGACAAAGAGATGGTTAAAAACACACCACAAAATTGGAAATTGCTCTTATTCTTTTAAGCTTAGAGATGGTTTGAGAGCAACAAAAAGACCTGGTGGCATGACTTGGAAAACTTGTTTCTCAAAGGGTGGGGAGAGACTGAAAATGAAAATACTTTAAAGGGAGTTTTAAATAAATTCCCAGAGGACAAATACAGGATGTATTGCCAGAGCCTGTCATAGAACTGTGAGAGAGAATGTGTCTGATGACCAGGGTCAGAATGTCTGGGTTCTAGTCTTGTCTTGCCTACTTACTAATGCTGCTTGTGCGCCCCGGGGCAAACGACTTAGTATTTTTGAGCCCATTTCCTTAGCTGTAAAAGGGCGATAGTAATACCCGTCCTGACTACCTCAAAGGGCGGTTTTGGTGTTCAAAGAAAGCAATGCATTTACCAGTGTTTTGCGAACTATAAGGTGCTCCATAAACATAAGTGTTTTTGTTAGTGCATCGCTGAACTTACTGCAAACTCCCAGACAAGGGGCATCTAGGGAGAGCGATTTGGCTCTCCCACGCGGCGACTGTGTTTTCATCAATCCTTATCCCACGTTTATGGGGGTATCTTGCTGAGGAAAACTTTTCGGTGCCTGATGAAAAAAAAAAACAAATCCACTATACAACTAGCAAGGTGGTGTCTGTAAAAGTACCATACAGACAGGGCTTAAGATAAACTGCCAAGAAAACGCCAAGAGTGTCAAAAAGGACTTCTCTGTGGAAGCGCAGTATTCGCTTTACGAAAGACGTGTCGTGAGCGATAGATCATGATGCCGGCCGCCGAATGGAAACATGAATTGGTAGAACCGGTCGTGCGGTAACGTAGTTATTATAATTCCACTCTGACAGATTTAACGATTTGCCACAATTCCCCGGAATAAGCAAGATGCTGCAACGAGCTTCAGACTCCGAGCGGAGAGCGGGAATAATGCGCGCGCACTCGGCTCCAACCGATCCCAGGTCCCGTGAACGCGCCTCCCCGGCCAGCCAGGGCGCGCGCGCCGCCGCCGGCCCACGTGACCCCGGGCGCGGCGGCGGCGGCAGCGGGGACTGGCGGGGGCTCGGGCCGGCTCCGCAGCGCCGCGCAGGCGCCCCAGGCCTGTGCCGAGCCAAGTCCCTCCTGCTCGCTCCAGGCGTCAAAATGGCGGCGAGGGAAACCTGGAGAAGCCCCGGAGCCTGAGCCACTGACAGGAGCTGAGACGGGAGGTGGCGGCGGCGACGGCAGGAGGAGGATGGCCGGGGGCGCTGGCGCCGGTGCGGACGGCGGTGCAGGCGGCGGCGGCGGGGGCGACGGCCGCGGTCCCAGCGGCGGCAGCAGCAGCAGCGGCGGGAGGAGCCTCCGGGGTGAGTGTCCCTCGATGTCTCTGAGGCTGTGAGCCGAGGCTGTTACCGGCGCGGTGCTGGGCGTCCCGACGAGGAAGGGGCTGTGCGGGGGCCGTGGGGGCGCAGGGCTGGGGCCTGTACGCCGCGGGCGGCGCGGGGCCGGGGAAGGGTCACTGGTCCGTCTGGGGCTGAGGCGGCGGTGGCAGGCTGACCGGTCCCGGTGCGCTCAGCGGGGCGGGCTGGGCAGTGCGCAGCCGTCCCGGGGGCAGAGGCGCGAGGTGTGGCGCTTGGGGTGGGGAGAGCGGCCCGAGGTGGCCGCGGCGGCGGCTCGGCCGGCTCCAGTCTCGGGGCTACGAGGGGCTGGACTCGTCGCTCCCAGGACGCCGGGAAACCGCTCCCGAGACTCGGGCGCGAGTTTACCCGGCTGCGGGGCTGCGACCGCCCCGGGGTGGGCGTGAGAGCTGCCGTCCGGAATCAGGGGTCGAGGAGTGCAGGCCTGTGTACGGCTGCTCCCCGAGGGAGAAGTTAAGATTGTCCGGGTAAGTTACTGTTTCGGGATAAAACTGGAATTGCGCTTTGACAGGTTGGGAGAGAGACAATACGGAGTCTTTGGTAAAGAATCCTGTGCTTGGAGTACTTGAAAGGCTAAAAGCGTGCATTTTTCAGTGTCTCATCATTTGCACAACTGTTTATTAGCCTTGCCCCGAAGATGAGAACTTTCTCACCGTTTGGGGGGAGGAAGCCCTGAGTGTTGTTTCTGCTTTGAACTACAATAGCACCTCTTCACATACCAGCACAGATAATAAGTACTCTGGATTAGGCCTAATTCGCAGAAGCAGTCTTGGTTTTACCAGAGAACTGTTTCCTCTGCTAAAACATCTTACTGTAATGAGGAAATAGGCATTTTTATAGAATTACTTCGTTTTTTCAAGTAGCAGAATCTTTTGTCTCTGAATAGCATCCATTTCTTTTAGATTGCTGAAATCAATTACTTTCTCCCGGAAATGTGAAAGAAAGATTTGAAATTGCAAGAATCATACATGTTAATGGCAGCTGTGATTAAACTTGTCCTGGAATTTTGAAGTCAGAAAAACCTTTAACGATATGATGTGACTTGTTTTAGAACTGGGGAACTAGGCCCAGCGAGATGAGTGACTCGCTGTGGGTTCTGCAGCTGGCGAGGGATTGGACCAAAACTAGGATCTAGGCCTCTCTCCGCCCTATTTAGAGAGCTCTTTTCACTACACTCCTGAGCCTCGTATTCTTCATTGATTGCATTCTTCACCACCATCCTCATCCCTGGGTCTTTGTACAATGTAGTTGAAAGAAGAAATCAGAGAGAGCCCTCACTCTGATTCTTGACAGTTACTGTCAGTTACCACAAGTAACTGATGAAGATTTTTTTCCCTGAGCTGAATTTAATAAAAACCAACTGACATTTCATTTAGAGTTTTCATAGGTCTGTGACTGACTGTATTTCTGTCCAGTTATAGCATTGCTTATTTATGCATGCATTCAGTAAAACCAGTATTCTGTCCCACAAAACCTAACTACTGTATTGTTTTGTTCCTCATTACCAGCATTTAAACAGGTTCGTTGTATCAGGCTCTAATTTTAGGATTTAAAACACCTGTGTTGTGTTTGCCAGGTTGTACCATCTGGTTTCCACATAGCCACTTGAGTCACAACAGCTTTCTGTGTTGTGTGTCACAGGCTAACCTTCAGAAATAGTCATGTCAAATGCTTCTGATTTCATATTCTAGTCATTGAAACTCACACACCAGAGTTGTACCTTGTGTTCAGTTACACAGGCGATTATTGAAGATCTGCTTTGTATTTTGCAATACTAGGTGCTACCGGAGAAAGAAACAAGTGAAATATGTAGACTTTGCCCTCAGAAAAGATAAGATGTACCCCTCTGAGCCTAGAAAACAATCTATCAATACAAAGTATGCTGTACGTGATCTGGTTAGAGGGAGATGAGTGAGGCCTCAGGAGTCTAAATAACTTCCTGGAACACTTGGGACTTGAGCTAGCTTCTGTGAGGGTTTAGATTTACAGAGAGATTGGAGCAGTTACTTTGTGAGGGAAAACCAAGAGTGTAATGTGGAGATTAGCTTTGGGGGAGGGGAATAGAGAGGGAAACTAGGATGAGCTGACAACTGAATTTCCTGGGGAAGACATTAGACAGTTGAAAGGATATGTTTGTAGAAGGGTTTGAGTACTGGATTGAGATTTGGATTTTTATCCCCTTGTGCAAGATATGGGGAGCCTTTGAAAGTTTGGAGGTCACACATTAATATGTTAAAACTGCCAAGACGCACCTGCCAGTGATCTGTTGTTTGAGTTAGAATGAGGAGAGAGTGGAATGAACCAGGGACAGTAGTAGCTATTGCAGTTACCTGGGTATGAAGAGATGAGATCCTACAGTAAGATAGAGTCACTAGGAAAGATGCAGAGCAGGTATCTTTTTTTGTTGTTGCTGTTTTTATTGTGGTAAAATATACATAACATAAAATTTGCCATTTTAACCAGTTTTAAGTGTACAGTTCTGTGGCATTAAGTGTATTTCACATTGTCGTGCAACCATTATCACCATCCATCTCTAGAACTCCATTCATCTTCTGCAGCTGAAACTCTATACCCTGTAAACACTAACTCCCCACTTCCCTTTACTCTTAGCCCCTGACAACCACTATGCTGCTTTCTGTCTCTACGAATTTGATTACTCTAGGCATTTCATGTAAGTAGAATCATACAATGTTTGTCCTTTTGTGACTGGCTTATTTCACTTAGCATAATGTTCATCCATGTTGTAGCATTTGTCAGAATTTCCTTCATTTTTAAGGCTGAATAATAGTCCATTGTATGTATATACTGCATTTTGTTCATTCATTTATCTGTCAGTTGATACTTCATATGCTTCCACTTTTTGGCTTTTGGAATAATGTTGCCATGAACATAGGTGTGCTCATATCTGTTTGAGTCCCTGCTTTCATTTCATTTAGGTTTATATCCAGAAAATTTTACATTCCCACGAGCATGCCTCAGGGTTCCAGTTTCTCCACATCCTCACCAACACTTGTTGTTTTTATTATTTTGATAACAGCCATCCTAATGGGCGTGAAGTGATATCTCATTGTGGTTTTCACTTGCATTTCTCTAAATATTAGTGATATTAGCATCTCTAAAGCTTATCAGCCTTTTGTATATCTTCTTTGGAGAAATAATCTATTTAAGTTTTTTGCCTATTTTTTAATTTAGTTGGTTTTCTTTGTTGTTGTTGAGTTGTAGGTGCTCTTTATGTATTCTGGATACCAATCCCTTATCAGATAGATGATTTGCAAATATTTTTGCCATTCTATGCATTGCTTTTTCACTCTGTCGAGTGTACTTTGATGCACAAAAGGTTTTTTTTTGGTAAGTTTTTAATTTTAATGAAGTCCAACTGATCTAGTTTTTCTTTTGTTGCTTATACTTTTGGTGTTACATCTGAGAAATTATTGCCAAATCCAGTGTCATGAAGCTTTTCCCCTTTAAAAATCTTATAAGAGTTTTCCCCTCAAAAAAACTCTTATGTTTAGGTCTTTGCATGTGGATATCCAGTTTTTCCAATGCCGTTTGTTGAAAAGACTATCTTTTTTCCATTGAATGGTCTGCCCATCTTTGTTGAAAATCACTTGGTCATACATTCGAGGGTTTATTTCTGAAATCTGTTCCATTCCATTGGTCTGTAAGTCTGTCTTTGTGCTGTCACCGTACTGTTTTGATTACTCTAGCTTTATAGTAGTTTTGAAATCAGAAGTGTGAGGCCTCCAACATTGTTCTTTTTCCAAATTGTTTTGGCTGTTTGGGGTCCCTTGAGATTCCATATGAATTTTAGGATAGATTTTTCTATTTCTGCAAAATATGTCATTGGGATTTTTTTGATAGGGATTGCATTGAATCTGTAGATTGTTTGGAGTAGTGTTGACATCTCTTCTGGTCTACCAGTCCGTAAACACCAGATGTCTTTCCATTTATTTGTGTTTAATTTCTTCCCACAACATTTTGTATTTTTCAATGTAAAAGTCTTTCATCTCCTTGGTTAAGTTTACTCCTGAATATTTTATTCTTTTTGGTACTATTGTAAATGTGATTGATTTCTTAATTTCCTTTGTGGATTGTTCATTGTTAGTGTATAAACACAACTCATTTTTGTGTGTTGATTTTGTATCCTGCAACTTTACTGAACTCACTTATTTTAATGGTGTGTGTGTGTGTGTGTGTGTGTGTGTGTGTGTAATCTTTAGAGTTTTCTACATATAAGGTAAGGTTGTTTTCTAACAAAGATAATTTTATGTCTTCTTTTCCAATTTGAATGACTTTTCTTTCTTTTTCTTGCCTAATTGCTCTGGCTAGGACTTCCAGTACCGTATTGAATAGAAATGGTGAAAATCCACATCCTTGTCTTGTTCCTCATCTTAGAGGGAAAGCTTTCAGTCTTTGACCATTAAGTATGATGTTAGCTGTGGATTTTCTATACATAACCTTTACTATGTTGAGCTAGTTTCCTTATATTCCTGGTTTGTTGAGTGTTTTAGCAGGTATGTTTTAAGAAAAAAATTCAGTTATGGGTGCGGAGTTTCTACTTGGTGAAAGAAAGTTCTTGTGTCATTGGTGGAATGTTATTGTCAGGTTGTTTTTTATAAGCATCATCTTTGTACATTTGCAGTTATGTTCTGGCTGAAAAAAATACTGCTATAGTTATTCAGTGGGGAAGACTGACACTAATCAAATAATCATACAAAATATGCCTGAGTAACTATAGTACTATTTTGCTTCCAGCTGTATTCCCAGCAGCTAGCATAGTGCCAGGCACATAGGTGCTCACTAAAGTTATTAATTGAATTTAAAAGCAGAAGACTAAGATTTAACCCAATAAGCTAAAAAATATATTGTTTATAATTTTTATAGAAAGTGTTTATTCTGTTTTAAACCACCTTCCCTCTTAACCCAGTCTTGGTACAGTGGTAATAAAA